AACTTAGATTCGCTTGGCCACTGCGGTGATCTCAGCTAAGATCTTCTAAGTTTCGTGTCCTCATTTTGTGTTATTTCATTTCCATTGTTATCTTTAGTTAAGACCTGGCACAAGCTGTGCTAGTCGTTGGTGATATACGAGGTGCTATAAGATTAGATTTCACTCATTCCTTGCGAGTTCGGTTCATCAATACTCACGACAGCCACCCTTGACTGAAACCCACAACAGCTCATGGTATTGTGTGAACTAGAGAAACTATGCGGCTATATGCTCTGACTATGCGGTAAGGCAGATATGCGCTCATACTGTATATAACCGTCAACGAAGGCTTTGTGCGGATTTGAGCCATGCTTTGGTGCAAGGCATAGCTCAAATCCGTAGAGGGCACTTCGCCACTACACATCGTGCGAGTTTATGCGCTACACCTGCCTGACACTGAGGCCACTGAGGCCCTTTCTTAGTAATTTGATGCCGGGGTATAGCTCCGAGGGAAAGTATATGTAGTTTCGGATAAATTGGGATCCAGATCATCTAAGTTATCATTTAGCCTAACCGTGGTAGTCAGAGTGAATGAAGGGATGCTACTTCCAAGGCTTCCTTCAGTTTTTCCTCTTCGTTTCCAATTCATTCCCTATTCCTCCAGAATTCAGTAAATGGCAGGAAAGTTCCCACTGGGGAAATTGGCGACGAAAAAATTGTTGCGATTTTTAACAGCCTACTATTGTAGCTCACAATAATAGGCTGTTCAAAATCCTATAATTTGTAGGTGTCCTAGAGAAGTACTCTACCTCAAAAAACCATCGACAGGATTTTTGACCACGGGAAATCGTCGATTCGAGGCATCGGATGCTTTGGCTGCGTCCTAGCTGCCTCGCACGTTTCCTCCGCGATTCCTCTCCTGAATCGGGATTGAGTCCCGGTATTCCGCAAATTCACAACTTGGTTGTGACAACTGCTATACAAGAAGTCCGGGGATTTCGAACACAACACATGACGGAACTCGTCTCAAAGATGAAGTTCTTCATTCGCTGCGATAGTTGAAAATTGATAATCTCAAGTTATTGATAATGGAGAGATTTCGTGGCTAAGAGGAAAAAATTATCTTACAAGAATGATGCTCAAACATGCGACGACTATTATCAAAATGAACCAAACATCCTCCGAATGCCCACACTCGACGCGTGTCTTGAAAAATAAACTGTTCGGGAACATACTTCCAGATAAGGCCAACATATCTCAGCCTTCTCCGACCTATTCATCGAAAGCCTCTCCATAGCATATATACCCACTTTGGGGAGCGGGGGTCAGGCAGTCATCGCTACGCTCTTAACTGTCGAGGACTGGTCGACTTTTCTCAAAGATACGAAGTCGCCCCACGTGCTCGAAGTGGCCACCGTGCTTGGAACCCTGGATAACGACATTAATATATGAATCGAATAGCCCCAGTTCAGTCCGTCTTTGGTGGCGAGAACCAAATTGAATGTAGCACGCGAGAAGAGAGAGCCTCTCCTCCCTT